GTTGTAGCAACCCAAGTCAAAGAGAAGACTCTAACAATCATAGAGAAAGAACATAATATGAAATTGGACTAGTCTAATGATTGACGAGCCGTTACCATTTGTTATAGCTTGTGAGTTTCACATTTAAGGTCCAACCCAACTGCACTGAAAACCTTGTTTTTACTCATCTTTTGATGATAAAGATGAGAAGAAGGCATAAACAGAAGTGATGCTTTGTATAACAAAATTGATTAATCTTTAGATGTATTTGTTACACTTCAACTACTTGCTGGCTCTTGCGTTTTTATTGTACGCGATGGAGACGACGTACTAAAAATCTTCTGTCCTTTCCATTGCGAAGGTTCCTGTTGGAGTTTAGTTACTTGATAATATTCATCTAAGCTACTGCTTAGGGGTATCAGTTTCGGGTTCCGTTCCCAAGAACCGGAAAGGGTGTGGCTGTGGATGTGAGTGTAGGTGTGAACGGGGTGTGGGTGTCCTTTCTTGTAATACCTGCACCCATACCCACACCGACACCCACATTCACATCCACACCCACCCGCATCCACACTCACATCCACACCCTCACAATTTTAGGTTTATCGACAAACTGTTGACATTTAATTCGTTAAATACGAATATTGCTGATTTTGTAAGAAGAAATAGATGTGCCAGAGTGAATGCTGTTCATTGGCAACTATACTCGGTTTTACAAGGCTGACTGTTCAGTAAAGTATTAGTGTCTTGAGTCATCAGAAAGAAATATTCTTGTTTTATTGCATTTGTGTATTGTAGCAGCGACGTACAATTTGGTTTTTCTACCCACTTGTCAACGTCTATAGATAAGTATGACTTGTCACACATACTCTTTTTATTCTCTTTCATATGACTAATGGACAGCATTAAATGAATGACGATAAGAAACTAGAAGAAAAAAAACCCAATTATCAACGTGAGAGAAAATATTTACCTTTCGTGTCGATAGACATATAAACGTGTGCATCGCACTCTTCTTGCTTTCATTTTATTTGCAGTCATCATATCGAACTCACATATCTTCGAACGAATGCTGCAGCATGAATCTTGTCTTTTCAAAAATTCATGTTATTGCCATCGAGTCGAATACAATATGATTCGTTCGACAATGGCACGATCGTTCGAAGTGATTACACTGGATATAAATTTACTCGTCGTAAATAATGACGACAAAGACATGAAAGTGACTCAAATGTCATGATCTTGTGCAAATATTTTTCTATCTACGTAGGACAGTCATTATTCGTTTTTGCACGTTTTATGTGCAGGTTACTCGTATCATTTATTGTGATAAATAAAACCTTAGTATCAAAATAGATTAATTTGACAAAGGAAAATATTTTTACCACTTTCTATAACCATTACACGACGAAACTAAAAAACCGAATCAAAGCAAAAAAAAAAAACTAATTGCTAACTTAATCATGAAAAAAATAAGATTATAAGTACTTTACACTATCCTGTTACTAATCGATCAAGAAGCCTACACGAAATATTTCCCCATTGGTGAAGATTAAACTGAATAGCACAAGGAAAAAGGCATATTTCTGTACTTCTATAAACTTCTTCAGATGCGTATTTACTCCTATGTACTTGGGTATAATTCATATGCTCAAGAGATACGAGAGTATATGCCATAATGAATCTTTTTTGATGATACATATATCATTCAAATAAAAAACGCTTACACTAAGGTATTCGAAGAGATAAAAAAAGTCAGCTTATTCCTCTGGTTCATATCATAACGATCAAAGAAAAAGCTGATATGGATGTGGATCAAGGAAAGATCTAACCGTACCAGAGACACAGAATCTGCCGCTAAAATGAAAAGTTCTCTTCACGAAGACAAACCCTTCTGAAATTTATCTCGCTATCAGAATAAAAGAAATCGCATTCTTTTGAACATATATATATTCAAAGAAATCCGAAAAGAAACAAAACTACTATACTCAAAAAAGCTTATATCATAGAAAAAACAATTGAATAACTGTGCTAATCTTGGAACATGTTCATTTCGGAAGCATTTTAGCACAACGAAACACGGACACAAAAGTTTTCATGCTTGACATTGATCTTTTTTCTTATAAAATGAACAGCTTTTGATCTATCTGAATTTTGAAATAGTCATCTAATAAATGTTCAATAAATGTATTTGCTGAAAGTACTGAAGGAGCATTCTGGCAGAGTCTGGCTTCATTATCTAGAGAATCATGCTGTAATGAATAGTTGTTATGAATAATTCCTTTTAAAATTGATGATACTGTTTTACATATGGATTCGCTTCTTATTTTCGATATCATCAATTAATAAGAATAACGAAAATTATTGATATCATCTGATAAATTGGTGCTTGTATGAAATGATTTGATTAGTGTTGATGTTAATAATTTTTCAAATATGTCCCTAAACTTGAAAAACTGTTCTCCCCACAACACGCGCGAGCGTATACGATTAAATTCTGTATGTCTGATATGCATCCTCTAAATACTTCTTAGCACTTCACATACTTCTGTATTTATGCGTACTTTAGACAGGTGTGAGTATGGGTGTGGGTAAGTGGGCATGAGTGTGACTGTGGCTGTTGGTGTGCGTATACGTGTAGGGTACCGGTGTGGTGTGGATGTGAAGTGTCTCACTTCAGTTGCACTTACACCCACACCCAAATCCATATTTCACAGCCATACCCACACCCACATCTATTGCGAAAAGCTGTATTTACTGCTAGTAATGTTCTTTCTGATGTTCATCAATGTTTGAGGACAAAAATCCATTGTTCTTATGTCATGAATCGCGGCATCTACCAGCATATTAGCTCGAAACACGAGCTACACACTGAATATAAGATAGAAAATGAAAAACAAACAAGAATAAGACGTAGGGTGAACATACAAAACAAACGTAGACAGAGATGATAGGTGAATGCGACTGAGAGTATACGAGGGAAAAAGATTTATATCGCATGAACGATCAATAATGACTATAGTAGAGCGAAAGGAGAAAAATAAGACGATAAAATATATATTAGTGGACAACATGCAGTAATCAAAAGAACATTTGATTATTTACAGATTACCTTGTGGATGTGGATGCTCTTCATCGCACATTGGTTTTTTTTCTATCTTTGTAAAAGTAAATTTTTTTGTTGATAGTAATAGAGGGACTTTAAAAAAAGCTTCTCTTTAGTCTTGTCCTTATGAATGCAGAGTGTGAAACTGCCATTATTATTGGTAAAAAAAAATTAATCCTTGTGCTCGAGCTGTTACAGAGATATCTGATTGATTCTCAGCAATGTGACTTTTGGGTCATCCTGTAATTTCTATTTGTTGAAACAAATTTTCAATCATATCATAGTTGTTCGTCAAAATAGATTTTTTCAGTTTTGAAAGAGAAAAAGCAAAAGATGTAAATGTTATCTTTATTTGATAAACGTATCTTTACAATTGTAAATCTTTTTCTATGACATGGAAAGAAAAGAAAGTAATCGATATAAATAGCGTATGTTGAGTTTTGACTCACATAATCAAAATAGTTTTATTTTTTAGATATTTTGTTAATGGAGAAGGTCGATATCAGCAGCATATACAGGGTAAGCCATAAGTAACATAACAGAAAAAAAATTGAATATCTCCATTACGGCTCGAGCAAACGAGCTGATTTTTTTTACCAAAGATAGAGGTGTGTTGATACTCCAGATCCATACGAACAAGATTAGTGAGAACCTATGTTAAGTTTATTGTTTTCTTTTCGTATCTGTGAACAAGTAAAATTTTCTTGTTGAGGTCAATAGTGATATTTAACAAAGGGTCTCCTTAACCTTGTCCGTGTGGATTTAGAATGTGAACATGCCTCTATCCTTGGTCAAAAAAATAAGCCCGTTCAGTCAAGCCGTAATGAAGATATTCAATTTTTTTTCTATCACCTTACTTATGACCCACCCTGTATATATGTTAGATGTTCAAGTTTGTCATGGACCATAATGTAAGCTTTCTACCTATTACTGATACAAATATCTTAGTGTATTACAGAAAATTTTGAATCACAATACTGGTTAGAAGTCTCGACATGTGTGGAAGTTCGACTGAAGTCAAATTGGTTTCCACGAAATTGGTACCAGAGATATAGTTCGCAAAAAAACTATCATTGCAAGCATTAACTCAAACTTGATCGACTAACTAAGAATGAATTTACAAGTTAAACGTTATTCTGAACTTTGTTGCTTCAGTCTTCGTGTTCAAAAGAATTCTTCACTGGATTCATTCCTCGCTTTCAAGTTCGTCACTTCTCTCATCTTCGACATCCATTTTATCAAAATCTGCCAGATGTCAAAAGGCTCTTTTGAACTCAAAACCTTTGTTGAAGATACAACAACCAATGAACTTGAAAATGATTATAAATCCAGAGAAGACGTTCGTTCAACACAAAGACTGAGGCTAACCAAGTTTCGAATAATGTTTAACTTGTAAATCCATTCTTAGTTAGTGCTTACAATAATAGTTCTCCGAACTGTATGTCTAACACTAATTTCATGAAAAATGATTTGATCTCAGTTGATCTTCCATACACTCTGGGACTTCTGACTAGCATTGTGAGTCAAAATGTTCTGCGATATATTAAGATATTTCTATGAATAATAGTCAGAAAATTCACATTATGACGCATGATATATTTAGATGTCGAGTATATATATATTGCTAATGTCAGCCTTCTCCACTAGCAAAACATCTAAAGCAAACAACATTGATTACACGAGTCAAAGCTTAGTATACATCATTTATATGCAACTTCTTTTATTGTTCTGAGTACATCTGTTGAAATTCTAATTGGATCTTTCCACTCTGATCCTTGTATTCTGATACTTGAATGTTATCTTATGGATGTCGATATGTTTTAATATTAGTCTGTGAATCATTGCTTTTAGATAAAACAAGTAAGCAAGATTCAATTGTAAGTCTTTACAGAAAAAAAAGTATTACTATTGAAATCCAATGAGTACGGCATCATCAGATCAAACAAATAATGATCATTCAACAACATTGAATGATACTATTCTACACGAAGATGATTTAACTGAACAAGCCAAAAAGCATTTTCCTTATCATAGTGATATATTTCGAGCATTTGAATCGTATCGTCAAAGTGTACTTCGTAATGAACATATGACACCTGTTGGTCGAACTTTTTTTCTATCCGAACTTCAGAATTTACACACAGATTGTAAACGTGTTTTAAATTATTCAATTGAACACAATAAATTTGTCGATCAAAATTTACCTACTATTGGCCCATTGCTAGTTTGTGG